TCACTAGCATCTACAGTAACTAAAATTTATGAGAAGGAAAACGGCCACTCTAAAGAGGCAACATTTAACTCATGTTTGATAGCAAAGCACAAAAGACAATAGTATCCTAAAAGAAATCTGTTCCCCACATCGATATGAGGACTGAAATAGCTGCTGATTTCTCATAGGTTTAATGTTCTCCAGGTCCTGCCTGTTGACTCCTTTTAAATCCCTTGTTTCATGGCTTTGGAAAAGGGATCCGAGGATTGTGCTTCATTCCATACTCCTCACAGAATTAGTTCTACTAATTTTATTCACTTAATGATCCCTTCTTTCTCCCTTGGTATCATTGGTTCAGCTTCCTAAAGTCATCTGTTTTTGTTTGCTAGTAGTATTTCCCCCTTCCTTTTATTCTAGATGACATCTTCACATTTTGAATGATACAAACCTATAGCTAAAATAATGCACAAGAAAAGCAGGTGGAGAGTGCACGTTGTATTTCAGATTGTTACATCTTTGTCTCCTTTTCCCTTTCCCATCTCACTTTTCTCTTCTCATGTTGTATTTTTTCAAGGAAAAAAAAAAAGGAAAAAGCAAAGATGCTACAGCTCCGCAGGGACAAGTCAATTCAAGATTAATAGTTGCATAACAATCTGTAGAAACTAAACTTCATCTGAATTTAAAACTGTAAACTGTTTTGTTTTTTTCCCCAAACTAAATTGGTCAGATATGAAAGAAAAGTAATATAAAGCATTCTAACTTTTTATTTGAGCACAGACAACATGTTGGCTAATTTGTATTGATTTTACCTGCTAATTTAGATGCATTCATGATTTTAAAAGCAGATTCCTGTAATTCGCTTTTCTATAAAATGTCACCAATGCATTAAATACTGAGAAAACAGTCTTTGTAAATCAATCCACACTTATTAGATTTATTTAAGCGATAACATTAGAATTTCATGCTGAGATTTAATTTGGTTTTAAAATAACTCCCTACATGCAGAACATTTCCAAGGGTGGAGAGGCTAGTTCCCAATTATTTTCATGCCGTCTGTGCCAAATGTGTTTAAATGACTGACTTACCTACAAGCTGTGGGTTGTCTGGAAACTTCTCTGTTTGGTGGGGTGCACACATTTTTACCCATGGCAACATTATAGAGACAAGAAAAAAAGGAAAAATGCAGAATCAAAGCCGAAGGAAAAGTAAACAGTCCTACCTTGTTGGTGTCAAAGGTGTTATAAATTTGATCAACATGTTCATTGGCCTTTTGATTCAGACCTTGCAGACCCAAAAGTGCCTTAAACTCATGCAGCGTTTGCAGGCCAGATGGATACTCCATCATAAATGCTCTGTACCACACATAGGGGTCTTGTGCAAGAATTCCTGTCTGATCACCAGCTATGGATTCCTCATTCCCCATGGTGATTCGAAATCTGTGGCCTCTTTCGCAGGTTGTTTTCATGTAAATTCTCTCTTCATTCAGTCTCTCGCTCTTCACTACTGACATATGCTCTTGGAAACTGACATATGCTCTTGGAAAGCTACTCTAAACCTCTTACTAGCTTCAGGCTAAATAAGAACAGAAAGCCAGTGAGATTAACTTATCTGTACAGTTTTAAGACTGAGGTCACTCACCTCTGATGGTATAAGCTTACAGCATCCCAGAGGATTTTTCTATAAAGGACAGGGGCGATTTTTTTTTTTTTTTTTTTTTTTTTTAGTGAGTGCAATCTTTGTCATCTTGTTGGTCATCCACTCTGCCTACATTATCAACTAGCACAGTGAGTCCAGTTGAAGGAATTTTTTCAGGTGTTTTGAAACAGTAACTTTTCATTGCTATTTTACAGATGTGGAAACTGAGACTTGTGAATCTAAGGAATATTTCAGTGGATTAGGGGAGGTGGAACAAAGTCCAGCATAGGTTCTAGACACTGTCCCATCACTTACTAACTTCATTCAAATATTATCTTCTCAAGTATCGTTCATCAACCTAAAACTGTAATATGAGTATCTGTCTATTTGTGCCTGATAGTCTAAACATAAATTTAGATGAAGAACATTTTTCTCAAGGGAAAATTTTATGTTTGGAGTAATGTTAAATTAAAAGGAAGTCTACGTATAAGAAAGAAATCATGGCTAGAGAAAACCAGATGATTGGTGGTAAGTCAAGCTGTGTGGATGTAGTAGCAAGTCGAGTCTGGTCTGAAGATAAAAGAACATACGTGGCTGTGTCTTCTGGCTTCCTTATTTTTTTTGTTTTTGTTTTTCTCTTTGTTCCTCTTTTTTGTCTCTTAAGTCTGTATCTTTGTATGCTTTCTTCCTGCTAGTTTTGTCTCACTTCAGTTCCCAAGCTAATCTAATCTTGTCCTGGCCAAGTCCCAATTGCAAAATGGACCTGAGAACAAAGTCAAAGAACCTAAGAATGTATCCACGGTCCAGTAAGGGAAACAAAGCACCTCAAGTGGTCCTCAAGCATCTCGCTATCAATCATATGCAGGATCAGATTCCCAGGTAGAATGTAATTCTGTTAATCCTGAATTCTGGTTACCACCTCCTAACCATAGATGGATCTCTGCCTTAGTCCTAGACTAATTATCTATTTAATAAATCCCCAGTTCCCCAAGAACTGGAACTATTAGACCTGAAATAAACTGTCTTGATAGGAAGTGGGAGTGGTTAAAGTGAATATGATTAATTCTGTTTCAAACATATCGGTGCAGACTTTCAGTAGAACATTTTCTACTTCACAACTAGAGTTAAATAATAGGTGGACGACTGAGCCATAGTAATTTGTAACTCATTCAGGTGGAAGTTTTACTTGAAACCATTACAGGAGATGAGGTTTCTTACGTCGAGTCAAAAGAAGATGAGACAGGGATGACTGAGCCCTGTGGATGATTCAGGTAGGAACTATGCTGAATATTCTGTCAGCATTCTCCTGGGGTGTTCCTCATCAGATTCCTTACATGTCTGCCAAAAGGATGCCCAGAAGACTGGCTTCTTATCACCATTACCTTCTATTCATCACCTGTTTTTACACTGAAGGAAAAATGGATACCAATGATGGCAGAAGAAGAACAAGAACATCCCTTGTGGAAGAAAAACTTTAGATAATACAAGAATCTAAGGACTTGAAACACAAAAGCTGTGTTTCTTCCCATAAATTACACATATTAAAGTGTATATAAAGATGAGTTGCTGGTGCAAAATAAAGTTTTAAACTATCTCTACTATGAGATTTCTTACATTGAATACAATATCTGTTTCCAAAAATCAGGAATTGTTTGGTATAAAACATTAACAAGTCATAAGGAAGTGGGGAAATATCTTCATTTATAATATATCAAAGAATAATTCAAATAATTACAATAAATATAACTATAAATGTGAAAAATGCTTGAAGAAAAATGTAAACTGGTACTCTAGGACACCAAGTCTTGAACATATAGAAAGGTATATTTTGATATTGAATTTAGAAAAGCTTCATTTAAAAAAAAGTAAGTCTATTCTCTATATATTATTCTATGCTACAACCACAAACTCAAGAAAATGCAAATAAAACTTAGGGGGTAGTAGCTATTGAAAAAGTTAATTCTAAGGTTTTTTTAAATTTTTTTTCTTTAGTTGTATATGGACACGATATCTTTATCTATTCATTTTTATTTTTATGTGGTGCTGAGGATCAAACCTAGTCCTCACACATGTGAGGCAAGCACTCTACCATTGAGTTACAGCCTTAGCCCAATTCTAAGTTTTAATGAGAATTTAACAGGTAAGTATACACAAGAAATTATAAAAAATAAAATTATTAAATATCCTTACCAAAACAACATGGGTCTGGCATGAAAAAATACTGAGCAATCACTGAAAAAGCAGAGGGACTTTTTGTTTTTTTGTTTTGTTTAAAATACAAAGAGTAATCTAACATACAAAGATAGCATTGGATACAATAAGGAGTGATTATCCACATGATAATTCTAGGACAATGCTGTGGCTACGTGGAAACATATATACACACATACACAAACAAAATGGGATTTCTATTGGGGAAATAGCCCAGTGGTAAAGTGATTGCCTAGCATGCTTGAGGCCTTGGGTTCAATCCCCAGAGGAAGGAAGGAAGGAAGGAAGGAAGGAAGGAAGGAAGGGAAGGAGGGAGGGATGAAGGAAATAAAGCTTTCTTTATTTCTAACCTACATTAAAACAACAAAGACATATCACGTTTAACCTATTTGATAAGCAAGATAAGAGTGTGACAATTCACTGGGTAGCCAATGGTATGAAGAAATAGGTATTCATACATTACAGAAGAGGGTATTTTAATGTAATTTTTATGCAGTGTTGTTAGGCAATGTCTACTGTAATAGCATCTATATATCGTTCACTCTGTAATATAATTTGTTAGGTTTGACAGAAAAAAATTGCAAATGTGTGAATTACAAGGATATTCACTATTACAAGGATACTCACAATTATATGCATGCAAATCCCAAAGGACAAAAAAATTAATAAATATCCATTGATAAGGGAATGGTTAAGTATATTTGGGAATTTCCACAGAATGGAATTATGAGGACTAGTTAAAAATAACAAAATATGATCTCATTACCTCTTAGTACATTATATATTATTACATATATCCATCTTGATTTGAAAAGTTCTTGATGGTATTCAGAGAGACAATTGCAACATCATCTTTTGGATGCAATTACATCATATTTTCAGTTATATATTGGTCAACATAGTTTTACATACATTGAGTGTTTGGGAGTGGATTCACAAGTGATTGGTGAATATAGAATTAATATAACTAATATAGAATATAGAAATTCAATAAGAATATAGAATTTCTAATATAGAATTTCAATAAGAAAACTAGTAAGAGCATGCTTCTTGGGAGGAATAATTAAGGGGCTAAGGACACAAATGAATGAAGAATTTTCATAATATCATATTGAACATATTCCACATTTTGTACTATGTGCATTATGTAAATTAAGATAGTACAATTCCACAAATGAGTCTTAATGCTTTTATTGGTTTTGTTCAAAGCTGAAGACATTTCTGAACATACAACGTAATCAGTTATTAAGGAAAGTGTTAAAACAGTTTCTTACATGTGTCTAAATATAAAAATACAATTCTTAACATCTGTTATATATATGTTCTGCCTAAGAGATTTATCATTTAAGAGATTTATTATTTAACTATAATTAAATTGTAAAACAATCATATAAACTTTAACTCAAAGGTGTTTTGGAGGATTTATACTTTCTGCTTTCCTGAGGATTGGCTGCAGTGGAGAAAAGGTACAATGTCTTTCAACACACATTTCAAGAGAACAAGATTCTACAGTCCTTTGTATACTGATTTTGAAATCCACTGTTTTCGAGCTTTTACAATTATCTTAGTAAAAGCAAAATTTAACTTAAGTGACATTTTCATATGTCTTCGTAGCTTGCATGAAGATTAGAGAACTCTAAAAATTATTTCCAAGAGAACAAGAAAAAATAAGAAATAGGACTGGCAAATTTATAAATTGCAAATCAGTCTCCATCTGTAAAGTATACAATTCTTTAAAGTTGTTAGGTAAAATAATTTACAATAACATTAAAGAAAGGAATTTTTAAAAAATCTTCCAATTTTCTTATTAGCATTCTGTGAAAGGGAATACCTTTTCTGACTTTTAGTTTTGAGAAGTGCTTCCATTGCTCTCTAAAGGGAGACCATGCCCTGCGACACTTTGTTTAAGGGGTCTAGAAAGGAGATTATCTTCTTTCAGCAAAGCTTCTAAATAAACGTCAATCTGCTCCAGGTCTTCTGCTGGACCACCCTGGAAGAGAGAAGCGATACTCACACCAGGGAAAGCAGCTAAGAGTTTACTCACGTTTCCTGGGCAGACTCCTGACAGTCTTCTCTAAGATTCATGGAGCAACAGAACCTGTCCTGTGTTTGAATAATGCTTTTAACCTTTTCCAAATGTTTTCTCGTTTAATCTCATTTTATGCTCACAAGGGGCTAGGAATTCATATCATATTTTCTTCTTTACTGGAGGTTAGTTCCACTGACATTTTCCTCCTTTTTAAAAATTACTTGTCATATCACTTGCCCCTCCCCACCCCCCTGTCATCCTTCTCGGTTTTAGGCTCTCGTCTCCTATTTTAAAAATTCACGAATCTTCAGCCTTTTACACCAAACCAGACAGATAAAAATTTGGCTTCTGTTTCTCCTCTTCCTACTATAGCCTCTTTTCTCCCAGCCTCTGCCTTGCTGCCCTGCTCGGTCTCTCTATCCTTCCTTTCCCACTCCCCCTCAGCTCCACCTCAGTGTAATTTCACAGTCTCCTTCCCTGGGCTTCTGGGTCCCTGGACAGATCCATGGGATATGCTAAATCTCTCTCCTTCAGGCCCAACCAGGAAGTCGACTATCTCTCCAACTAAGCAGATGGATGAGGAGACTGTTAGGATGGACCTTCCAAAAACTATCCCAGTTTTACTACTGTCCCACCAAGTGTCCAACTCCTTCATCTTCATCTCCTCTTCCCTTTCCTCAGTCCTTTAAATATACTTCAGCTTTATTCCTTCTGCTCTAGATTAGCTCAGTTTTCTAACAAGGGTTCCAGTTTTATGACTGGGGTCCTGTTCCTGCAAAAGGGTTTCAATGACATTGATATTTACCTAAGTTTCCATATATAATAACCACAAAGAGTTCCCTGTGGCTCTTGCTAACACAGCCAGGACTTACCTGTTAGGTATAGTCTAATCCTTTGGCTATTAGTCTCTGTCTGGCAGATGAAACTTCCTCTTAGGACCTTACGTGGATTTTACACTCCGTTTCTTGTGTGTCTACCCTACTCTTATCTGCTTCAGGCCCATCACAACTCAGTTCTCTGTTTTATTTTACCACAGTTGCTCCAGCAGTCAGAAAAGTAATGATGGAAACTTCAAGTGGTGAAATGAGAGTAATATATTTGAGTCAGAACTCTTTGGGTATCTTTTCACTGATACTAGGTAAAAGATTTCTATTCTGCTGGCTAAAGTCCCTCACATCCCTACTAAACCTTGTGAATAAAGCAAATTTAACTAATATAATTATCTTGGCTAGTCTGGGAAAACTGGCCAAGGTAATTAGCCAAGGGGTTTGGTATTGAAGATAATTTTTTTAAAGTTAATAAATTATTATTCTTTCATTTTTTTCTCTAGCCAAACAGATTTTCTATGCTGAGAACCAAAAATTTTTAAGATTTTTTTTTTGATTCTCATTAAGTGGTATTCAATTTCTATGATACAGAATTTCTCTGTTCTTTCAAGCGTTCACTGTTATTAAAACCAAAATTGTCACTGAAACGCTACCATGCCCAGGTTCCATTCCAATCTTTTTATTTATAAAATCATTTACACAGAAAAGCATTTATGGCCACAAGACCACAAGGAGCTCTGCTAAATCCCACTCTCACAACAATAATGAACTTGAAGAACTGGCTGAAGTGGTGATGTTGATAGAAGCACGAATACTGTTACCATAATGTAGACACAGCATTAATCATTCATTTTTATTTTAATAGTATAGCATTTTAATTGTGTCTATATGACTGAAGGGGAGTAACTTCTCTTTCAGCAATTTACCAAATATTAAGCAGAAACATGTTCTGCATTTCATTTCTACTTAATATAAGAGAAACTTCATGTAAACTAAAAGATGTATATGTTTTAAAGGGAAAATAAACTTTCACCTTGAAATGTTCACAGCTAGGACTGAAACCCAGGCAGCTGGGCTTGAAAGTCCCATTTTATACCAGTGTGTGGCCAGTCTCCTAGTCTCTCCACTATCTAATTCATGGGCAAGGTCATCCCCATCCATCCTCCAGATTTTGGGGCTGGGTAAATAGCTCAGTTGGTAGAGTGTTTGCCTCATATGTACAAGGCCCTGGATTCAATCCTCAGCACCAAAAAAATAAATGAGAGACAGACAGAGAGAGGTTAGCAGGCAACACTGCTCATGTTTGGCTTTATATGTGGGCTCAGCTGTGAAGTGTACATGCTTCATTCACCAGGACCATCCTCCAGGCTTTCTGTAGGAAACACAGTTCTCTTACACAGTTCTCTCCTGGGAGGATTCTGTCTCCTGTCCCGGCCCTCAGGGCCTGTATCTGAGGATAAAATGTCATGGGCTCCCTAAACTCCACTGTCCTGGCTTGCATTTTTCAATTTATTTCTAGAACCTATAGAAATACTTCTCAACCTTGCCTAATACGTTTTAACTTTTACTGCATTTCTATGTGCTGTCACAGAAATTAAGCTCTTCCTCATTAGTTCAATCTATCATAGAAACTCAATTCTTTATGCATTAAAATATACAAAGATACAAAGTCATCTGACAGTAATTCACACTTCCATGATGTTTCCTGGCCTCTCTAACCTCTCCTCTTAGATTAGGAGGGTTTTTTTTTT